TTAAAACTTAAAAATTGATATAAATATATTTTGTAAACCTAATTTTGTGTTTTAATACAACTTATATAGGTAAAAAGTAATAGTGGGAAAAAGTTATACACATAAAAATGTTTTTACACAAAACGATAAAGTAATAATACAGAAATATCGAAATTAAAGAACCATTTTATATATAACTTTGAAATTTCTTTAAGTTTTGGCGTATTAAATAAAGATGTTTTCGTATTAATGAGGTATTATTATTGAGACGAAGAAAAACAAGCTTTTTGAAGTATTTGACACCACAAGATGGATCCATGTTTGTAGAAAATGCATGTCAAGCAATAATTACTTGAGATTTGAGAATCTGATATTTTGTCAAATATATAAGATAATGTTTTTTAAATAAACTTATTAACTATAAAAGTTTTATTAACTTTTTACCTATATATAAGTAATAGTTTATTTGTATTAAAACTCGAAATTTCTGTACCACAACGTTATATTTGTTAAATTTATTAAAACTTAAAAATCGTTGGAGTTTTATAAACCAAATTTTGTTGTAGTGATTTAATAAACGGAAGATAGGTATACCATGAAAAGATTCTTCTTAAATTCTGCAAGAAAAACAAATTAAGATCCATGTGAAATATTATCGATTGAAGTAAACTGTAGGTATTTTTTCTATATAAAGGCCAAAGTTTCGTATGTATTTGCATCGTCAATCGAATCAACTCTATCTCTCAAACAAATAAGTTTTTTCGAGTTTGTTGAACGATCAAGAGAGAGATGGTTCTAACTGGAAAGTTGATCATGTACTTGGATATCAGTTCACGTGGAGACATGTTTCATGATCTTTTTAGGCACAGAACAAACGACATCGCTTCCATTGTCCCAGATATGTTTCATGGTTGTGAAATCCTTGAGGGTGAACCAGGAGCTGTTGGCTCCATCATCTGCATCGACTATACCCAAGGTAACTACGTTACCCTGGCTACTTTTTAAGTCTTTCATCATTAGCTCTTCAACCATATATATATATAGCTAGCTTCTTAATTTTCCATTCTCCATAAGTGCAAGTAGAATGATCAAATTATATATATGTGTATACATATATATATATATATATATATATCAAATAAGTTATTAGACTAATACATACTGAACAAGCTAATCGAATTTCACTTTTTAATTTTGCATGAACTTAAAAAAAGATGGAGAAAAGAAACGTGCAAAACAGATAATTGAAGAAATTGACTAAACAAACCACAAGATAGTGCTCAGTGTAATCGACGGAGATCTTCTGGGAGACTTGTACAAGTCCTTCAAGAACATATTTCATGTTGAACCAAAGGGTGATGGTCAGTTGGCTATTTGGACCCTTGAGTTTGAGAAGTTGAATGCAAGTGTTCCCTATCCAACTACTTTCATGGATCATCTGTTGGATGTTACCAGGGCCATTGATGCCCATAACAAAGCTGGCAGTACATAGATGAATGATCTTCTCCGTGTGATCCATCTTTATTTATAGCCAAGCAGAGTAAATAAGATAAGCGATAAAGCAAACTGAAGAATTATAAACTAGTGGCTATATATATGGCTACTAGGGATCATGTATGTTCTGATTACCTGGAGCGTACCGTTGTTTCATTGTTTTGATCTTGAAGTCTTCTATGTGATGGTATGATTGTATGAAGTTTGTGTATCTGGCAGCACCCATGAGCTACCTAGCCTTGTACGTGTAAAATTATTTTTTCGTTATAGTAGCCATCGTCAATGGTGCTGTGCTTGGTTGATTTTTATTTTTTAATACAAAATACTTTGTTTTTCATCATCTCTTCTCTTGCAACAATATGCTCCTATGTGCGGTAAAAATGAACGATCTAGAGCTACGTATAAACTATGTTTGGCAACTAACTGATAAATAAATTATGTTTGATAAAAACTAGTTTATAAATATATAAGATAACAAAAAAAAACATCTTGAAGAATAGTCAAATACAAATATTTTATAACATAATTCGAATAAATTTCTAATGGTATAATATGTTAATTAATAAAGCAAGATAGTTAAAAAATTAAATAATATAATATGTTAACTAACTGCAGATAAACACAATCAAATACAGGATAAACATCTCATTTTAAATATAAAAAATCTAAAATATAATTAGGATAATCATTGAGTTC